ATTTCTGGAAGACAAACCAACGTCGACCAAGATATCTGTACCATCCTTTAAAATTCATCAATGTTCCCCCAACTCTTGGTGTAGCTACTTTAAGCGTACCTTCTAAAGCCATGAGAAACTGTAGCCCGAGAAGATCAGAATTGTATCCAGATTTTGCAGCCTTGAGAAACTTATTTCTGTCTCTAGTAAGCAACCAATGATAAAGCAAGTCCTCATCTCCAAAGCATGTTTCACAGCACGATTGTGATATTCATCAATAGAGTTAATGTCCTCTCCTCGAGCGTTCATGCAGCTCAACACAGTTGCCTTTGCCCTCTGACTGTAATGTGTGGATTTGGAAGATGCTCTCTTCTTTACAACTATGAGTGATGAGACAGACATCAGAGATGGAGGGACTGGCCAAGGAAAAAGCATTTAGTACAGGAAGACAGGTTTTTGCTTTTTATTCTCTCTTTGAACAGACATATTAGTTTGGCAAGATAATAAGAAGTTACTATCAATAAAGATTTGTTCATGCTTCATACTATAGGAACCCAATAACCAAGTGAATTTTTCCCTTTTTCAACTAGTTGTTTTGAGACACACTAAAAATACAATGACATTTATGTAAAATCTCTATTTATCAATAAGTATTACCTTGTCAAACAAATAATTGGGAATGCAATTTTTTTGGAGAGGGAAGGACAAAGTAATTATTTATTCTAAATTGTATATCATCAGGCCCCTTATGTTCTTCAGCATTGCTAGAAGTAGTATAAAGTGTGTTATTTCAAAATAGATTTTATTTACCACATTAATAAAAGTGTACTTAGTGCATTCCCAGCCAAGGATCTGGCATCACAAATTCAGACACAACCAAAGAAATATTCATCACTATAAAGAACCCTAGCTATGAGCCAGGATAATAACTTAAAATGTAAAAATCAAAGCTCATAGTTTTAAGAGACATGCAAGTATTATACAAGGGGTACTAATGTTCTACAAAATATAACTCACAAAATACAATTATACCACATCATAAATTTTGCTGAAAGTGAATATGTTAGCTATAATAATCATTAAATTTTTAGACAGTTTTGGTGGCTTTCTAGAATTTAGAAGGACTGTTTTTGGAAGGAAGATACTTAGGTGGCCTAAATCCCTTAAGTAGGTTGTGCCAAGAGGGCTAAACTACTGCTTCTTCCCCTTCTCCTCAGTTAAATTCCTCGCTAGAACTAGTGGCCCCTCCAATTCATCCTTGGCCTAATAGTGGCCCCCAGGTCTGTGTCAGGAGCTTCCTGTATGTTTATTGGTGGTGTGGCTTCTGTGATTAAAATTTAGGTTTCAATGCAAAAGGTTTCTCAGGATTTCTATACTTCACCCTTTTCTAACTTCTTCAGTTCTTGAAAGCTATAGAAATTGCTTTGGCTTCAGATAAAATGCAAAAAACAAAAAATGTGCCAGTAAGTCACTGGATTTGATATCCTATTGACAGCGATCAGAGCATTTCACACTAAGAAAATATAAAAATAATGATTGGTCTTTGTTGTGGCCTTTCAGAGAAGAAACCTCAGTAACCTCCAGGGGAACTGAAGACAGGCAGGAGCCTGAGCACCACAGGCTGCCTGGTGTTTCCATGTTGCTGGGGTCACTTCCTCCCCTTCCCCACCTGCAGGCTCATCCCCAAGAACAGATGCAGGGATCCAGAAACAGAGTTGAGTGGCATTGATTAATTAATTGAGTTTGGTGGCCTTAGGGCCCTATATTTTTGCTCCAACCACTGTACAAATCAATGTACCAGAATATATGTATATTTGGTATTTTACTGATTTTTTTGAAAGTACATTTTTGGCCTCCTGAAGGCAGTGCCCTCAAATGAAAGTACATCCTCCAAGAAAAACTAGTTGACTTTTATAATGTCTGTTGGCTTGACCCCTGATTTCATCTTGATGGAAAGTAAATGTTCCCTATTCAGGGATATTATAAGGAAAATTACAAAGTTTGTCAAATTTATCCTCAGGGAATCCAACTTTCTCTTTACATATCTTTCCCTCTCATTTAGTAGTAACCCCTGCCTTGTCCTGTTTTGTTTATAGCGCCCTCAGAGTCTGGCTATAGGGCCCCCTACTAATCTTGCCCTCATGGCCTTAATTCACCCTAAAGGATAACACTTTAAATATTTATAAATAAATTAACTAATTAATGTGCTTTAGCATTCAATGTGCTTTAGCAGTGGAAATTTAATATTCCAATTCCATTGTGGAATACAAAAAGCAAAAAGAATATAAAATTTCTCACTCCAAATACAGGAGGGTGGACCCTACATAAATCTGTCAAATGCCTAAGTCCTATATGAAAATGTTGCCATCTAGCATTCTAGAAAATTTAGCTCATGGAAGGTAAATCATCACAATGTCTTCTTCAGGCCCAAATTATCATTTTTAGGTCAAAGAACTTCTGTTATATAGTATAAAAATATAGCTATTAAAATACCAGATAGCAACCCCCTAATCAATAAAACCAATCAGTCATATCCGCATAGGTCAGATAAGTATCTCCAATATCGCATTTCCCATGAAGTCCATGAGGAGCTTTATTTCTATTTTAACAATAACAATATTATTATTTACAGTTTAACATAAACAATGATATTATTCTTGTACCTTATTCTCAATATGCTAAAAATCAAATCCATAATAGTCTTCAAATCCAGCCCTCATTCATGTTGTCTTACTTCTATTAGTGGCACCAAAGACTCGGGTTCATTCAGGTGTGAAGCCCAAGAGTCATCTTCAATTCACTTCTTGTCATCCCCCACACTGCTGACAAATCAATCTTTCAAAGGTAGAATTCCTGTCGGTCAATTCCCTGCTAGAAAACAGGGTCGGGGGTTGGGGGGGGGAAAGCCAATGCCTCTCTGCCACATGCTCAATTAAGTACCAATCCTTTTTCCTGTGTTTTAAAACCATCCAAAATATGCATTAGACATCATAAATATCTCACAGTTCTGTATCTTTGCTATTATTAATTATGGTTCTTTTTTATTTGTCTTTTTTATGTTATGTTAATCACCATACATCACATCATTAGTTTTTGATGTAGTGTTCCATGATTCATTGTTTGTGTATAACACCCAGTGCTCCATGCAGAATGGCCCTCTTTAATACCCATCACCGGGCTAACCCATCCCCCTACCCCCCCCAGAACATATAATGTTATATTAGCTTCAGGTGTACCATAAAGTGATGCGACACTTCTGTTCCATACTCAGTGCTCATCACGGATAATGTACTCTCAATCCTCTTTACCTGGAGGAAGTGTGGTTCTTATTTGCTAATATTAATGACTGTTTACTGAATACTAGGCTTCAGGTAAATTACCTTAGATAGCCTCAGGATAATCCTACTAGGTAGATACTCTGATATCTTTATTCCTAATATGAGTTAGCCACAATTACCAAGTGAGGTAACATATGAGGAGAATTCATTCCAGCAAAGGTTGTGATATGTCTAAAGTAACAGAGAGAACCAGTTGAACAGCAGGGATTCAAGTGTGTATCTTATAGCTCCAAGGCTGATGGCACTAATAATTCCTTGCCCTGGATATAAATATTAATTCCAAATGGAATGGGTGTCGTTATCCTCTAAGGAAGGAGCATGGCTGCTGAAGGAGGTCATGGAAATTCTATGCCCCATTTTCTCTAAGTCATGACAGTAAAATATACCCATTTGCAGCTACTTTGCCTACTTCTCTGGTGACCATATCTAGATTTTCTCCAAACAATTCTGATTTCAAACTTTCTGCTCCTTATAATCAGAGGCATGGTTTAGAGGAAGTGCACCAAGCAACATTGTCAATGAAAAATTGTAAAGCACATAGAACATATTGACATGATGTTGTAAAGATCATGAGAAAAGGTGTTCAAGGATGCCAAGTGAGTGGGAACTCGGAATTCCTCCAATAGGCGGTCCAGTGTTACCATTGTTACATGGGCTCCACAACAAAGCAAAAATGAAGGCCCTTCCCTTTTGTCTTCTGATTTCAGAACCTGACCGTGTGTCCTAAACTGTGGCCTTACACAAGGCCAGTGTAGTCCATGAAGATATACAAACGATAGCTTAGGAAAAAATAGAGTCCGAGGCATTCTTTCAAATAGCCAGAAAATTGAAGGGAAGAGAAGCAAGTAAAGTAGCTTCTCTTTCTTTTGTAAGCACATCCCCTTGAATGCAAAGGAAAGAACCTGTGTTTGATGTTTGATAAACCTTATGAAGAGAACGTTTTGCCCAGAGCAGCCTTCGTTTTAGGAGATGAAAACTGAATTAGTTCTTATGGTGTTGAACCCAAACATAAATGGAATTCTTTAACATATGTGCTCAATTAACCTACCATAGATAAGATCAAATAATAAAAATCATTGACATTTCAATTTTCTGAGACTATATTAAAATAAAATGATGCACATAGAAAGTAAAAATGTTGAAAATATTCTTCATTATTTGCTGTGGGAGATTCAATTAAAATTGGTTAATAAGTGGAAAGATGTTTCAAAATGTTTGTATGTTTTTAATTTAAAAAAGCAGTACAATCATGAAGTCTTGATACTTGAAGATCTGTGTGATGTACTTGGCATGGCGGAAGAAAAGAGCATAAAAATCCACGAGCTTGAGTGTTAATTAAATGTGAAATAACACACAGGGATGACTATTTTATGGTAGCTGCCGAAAATTCCAAAGAGCAAAGGTTTGTCTCTGTATAGTAAAGGGGTTGTAATGCCAAAGCAGAGTCTCCACGTGCTGAAAATGCTCATTTTTTTTTCTTCAGCAACATATACGTCCTCAAAAGGGAGACTGAGTAAAGTTACATCAACTTGGACTATACCTTTGGTTTTATAAAAATTAAATAAATAAAAACACAGTGCCAATTAAAATAAAGATGTGGCTTTTTTTAGACTTTGTATCTAGACTGCTCATTATCTAAGCATCTCCAACCTAAGTCTGTACTAATGAGCTTTCCTTTCACAGGGAGATAAAGAAGCTGAATTAGGACTTCCATTTTCCCCTCTTTGTGATCGGAAGTCAACGATGGTGGCCCAGTCACAAATAGGTACTACTCAGGAATGGTGGTTATGGAGGGTGGGCATGTGTGAGCCAGTTTTCAAATGGATAAACCATGTTGTTCAAAGGGGCAACATCCATGAAAACCTCACTTCATATTCATAATAAATTTGATCTTTAGACTGATGTATATGGTGCTGAATGATAAGAATTTTGAAAAATTCTCACAAAATGAATTCAATCAGCAGTATTAGTAAATGTAATTGTTATTTGACTTGTAACCCCTTTACAAATAATGGACTTTCTTCTTGTGTAAGAGACAGCATTTTTTGTGTTTTGTTGCTGACGATTGTAATCTGTAGTTCAATCCTTTGTATGTAGGACAATGCAATGAAAATATTAATATATCTGTGTTGTTATCACTAAGTTTGCAATATATATTTAATACAGTAGCTTATAGTCCTTCAGAAAAAAATTATTTTGTTATAAGTAGATAAGCCGGCAAGTTCAGCCCATTATTAAAACATATTGTTGCTATGCTGCATGGTCCAAATATTTGTAATGGTTATTCCCAGAGCCAGCATCTTTATTACTGCACTGTAAGATTAATAAACATAAGGATTGCCGCCTAACCTCTCTAGCTGCTTCTGTACCAAGTGCTACAAAGCAACGGTCAACTGTCAGAAAGCTTCTTGCTCTGACATTTGCCCCTTGCCATCCAAGTTCCAAAAGCTGTTTTTCTAGCTACCATAACACAGGTGTCTACCATTGTTTAGCAGGTGTGAGTATGACAGGCTAAGAATCTCCTCAGGCAAGCTGGAAAGAAGGGAAGTTTCTGAGGCTTGTTACCATAATATAAATTGCTATCCTGTTTGTGGAGGTGACACATCATTTTCGAGTCTCCATATCCCAGGCATTTAAAACCACAGACAGAATGGAAGTAGCACACCGGTAGCCAATTAACATTGCTTTGAGTCGAAGGCATCAATTAAAACACAAAACTGTTGAAGTTTTCTTGAATTAAAATTGCACCTTAGGGGCCGCATTTACATGTCCGGCTCTTGATTTCGGCTGGGGTCGTGATTTCAGGGTTGTGAGATCGAGCCCCGTGTAGGCTCCAGCCAGGTGTGGAGCCTGCTGGGGATTCTGTCTCTCCCTCTGCCCCTCCCCCACCCTCTCGCCCTCTCTTAAAAAAAAAGCACCCTAATGTATAATATTACTAGTCCAATTACTTGAAATGTGAATTATTTGTATCTGATGGATGGGATATTCTGCAAATGTGGATATTTCTGGGCACAGTAGCACTTAGAAAGCCTCCCTCCAGTTTCCTCATATATTCAGACGGTCGTCCATAGCTCCCAGGTGTGAGGCCACAAGCCCTTGATTTCCAGTGGCACACCTCTCCAGGGACTTTAGTGTTGAAGTGTGTACAGAGTCTGCAATAGGTTATCTCCTCCTCCAACTAAACAGCAGGGGGGGAAGGGCTCCCTAGAGGACAGTGCCCCCTTCTCTCTATGTGTCATTTTCTATCTTGATGAGTACTTTACATTTAAAGTTGTTATTCATCCTGACATCTCAAGGTGGTGGGAATAATGCTGTCTCCCAGAGATGTTACTGTTCTCTTCACTGATTTGACAGAACACGCCCACAGGCTGTGAACTAACACTTTACATCCAGAGAATAATAAACAGCAATTTAAATATTAACACACTGCCAGAAAGCTCTGACTGATACAGTAAGAGGGGGAAAAAGCGGTTGCCTTCCTGTGGCCTGAGAAAAAACTTCAATTATTTTGTTTCTTTGAAGTTCAGATATTATTTTTTGTTGATTAGTAATAAATTCGACAAGCAAGTGGAGACCTTTCAGAAAAGTAATGATCCCTCTCACTGAGAGAGGAAATTATATTCACTCTGGTTAGATTTGAATTTATTGTTAACAAGAGTATAAAACTGAATATTAAATAGGAAAGCCAATATACACGAGTTATCAGGCTTAAAATTGGATCACTTCCACTACTTGGGAGATTATTTTATAGAGCTATTAAACTATCTCTAAAGATTATGTTATTATATTAAAAATAATTGCAAAGGGTAAACAGAACCAGTGTTGTAGCTGATAATTACTATCAGGTGCGTCAGACTCTTCATTAGATTTTAGAATTCAAGAAAGTGTAATGTTTCAATTTATATATATATATATTTTTTTGCTTTTGTAGGTTTCATTGATTTCATAGTAGAGCCAACATTTTCTCTTCTGACAGACTCAACAGAGAAAATTATTACTCCTCTTATAGAGGAAGCCTCAAAGACAGACACTTCTTCCTATGGGGCAAGCAGGTTTGATATTTTCTCCCTTTTTGCTTCCTTTTTTTATCTTTGTGTTGTTTAATAACCTTTTACTTAAGATTATTTTATTATCTCTTACAGCAGGGCAGGACATTCTTAAAAGAATTATTAGGTAGTATTTCCACCTAGTGGCTAGGTGTGATATTGCATCTGCCTTTGAAATTCACTTGATGTCCACTGCAAAGTATATCTAATGAGTGTAACACAGGAGTATTCAATACTCAGGAGAATGAAAATATCTGAATTTTCATGCAAATGCATGTATTATGCCTTGGATTTTAACATATCTACTTGTGTCAGTTTGCTTACAAACAAACCAATTACAACCCACTTGTACATACCAATTACAACCCACTTGTACATCTGGGGAGATGCTTATACCAAAAGAAGGCTTGTAGCTGATGTGGGTACAACAGATGTGTATAACATGTAACAGTAACATCCATTATATATACAATCACTTACAGTATTTCAAGCTGAACACTTTTCATCAATAAATTTGTTAAGGCATATTATTTAAAGCTTCCAGTTGAAACTAATCATGCTTATATTCTTGTCCATCTGAACACACAATTTTGCTAGTGGCACACCAACAGACTCCCTACATGTGGCCCCAGTGAGGACACTGAGGAAATGTTCTACCCGAGAGAGATTCGGGGGAGCCCCCACTTAGGGCTCCAGAATTGTGATGCCCCTTTATTGATGTTCACCAATGGACTCACTGCTAAGTCAGCTCACTTCAAGTTTCCACTGTTCTAATCAGGCCTAGCCACCCCATGACGCAAGAGTGCTCCAACCTGCTGCTCTGGGAGTCCTTGACCCACCCAGGGACTTCCAGCCAGAGTCCTGGCCCTCTCCCTGAGAGGAGAAAAGGAGCAGCCTTGACGCACCCTCCAAACTGGGCCTGAGCACCTGCATTTCTGGGTCAGCGTTTGGTTTTGTAAAGTGTTTCAGGCTTTGCTCCCTCATTTCATATCTTGACCTTTGTGTTTTCTGGGCTTTTTTTTTTTTTTTTCATTGTGACTATTAGCTTCAGCACCTTTCTTGTGTTCACAGTGTTGATTTGTTTAGACGATCAAATATGAAAGGCACCGTGAACGACGGAACCTATTCCCCGGACTACTCCCTGACAAGCGTAGACCTACAGAGCTTCAAAAACAACCTGGTGGACATCATCCAGCAGAACAAAGAGAGGTGGAAAGAGTTAGCTGCACAAGGTAGAGTTGTTTATGAAGCGTACCTGCCATCTCGTTCTTTCTTAACTCCTCCTCTAGGTTTTGGCTTTCTTTCCCCAGCCCCCCTAGATTTCTTCTTTGATGAAATACACAAGCCTTTGGTGGTATCTGAAATTTGGCCAACTTTTGATTATCACTAACAAAGTTGGTTTATCTGGTAGAGATTCTGCTCTGCTTATGTCACATGGGCTGCAAAAGTCTGTGTCCGTGGGTGGCAGTGACCTGAACATGAAGGAGGGGACGATAAAATGGTGACAAAACTTCACGTGGCAGAGTAACCTCCTGTTCATTTCTAGAAGTGCTTTGGAGCCTGTGTTTTAGGCTTTGCAAGTGGCTTTTGTGTTGCATTAGGAATGTAACACCCTGTGTCAGAGATTTGGGTGTGTTTTTTTCAATGTTCCTAGGTTATTTCTTGTGGTGACTGGTCCACTCATGCATTGGAAAAAAAATAATCTGTGATCAGCCATTAAAGGAAACAATTGGGAAGCTAGCTTCAGTTATTTCTGATATGTTTTCTGATTCAAATAAATGAGTTGATTTGGTTTACAAGGTATGTGAATTAGTATCAGTCATTATCTTTTGTGCAGGAAATTAGCTTCCTAATTCCAAATCTGGCCCCTGGCCCCGCTCACGCTCCCTTCCATAGCCCTGTGTCTCTCCTGTGCTTTATTCCCTGCACAGAGGTCTCTGGCAAGTTCTTGAAATACCCCAGAGCCTTTGCAATGACTATTTCTTCAGCCAGGGATTCTCCTCACAGCTCTCTGCAAGGCCGATTCCTCCTTGCCTGGGAAGTCTGTTGCTTAACTTTAACTTGAAAAACAGCACTTAGTTAACTCACTTAATTTAATTTTCACATGGACCTTATAAGGTATATACTATTTTTATTCTCATTTACATAAGGAAACCGAGGCAGAAGACAGTTGTGTGACTTTGCCCCAAATCCCATAACTAGTAAGTGAAGGAGCTAGAACTGACTCTCTCCAAATGCAGTGCTCGAAAGCCTTGTGGTAGGTAACCGCACAAGGAGGCCCTCCTTGACCACTACAAGTAACGTCCTCTATCCCGTCTTTCCCGATGAGGGCCCAGTCTAGTGCCTTCGATGTGGTATCACTAGTCCATAATCAATGATATTTACTTATTCCTTGTTTCTGTTTTCCACATGGGTAGCCTATGGTCCATAAAAGTTAGGACATGGTCTGTTGTGTTTTCCAGTATATCCTCAGCTCCTACCACAGTGTTGAGCATATAAGAGGCACGCAGGAAATACTTGTTTAATGAAATAACTACTTAGTGATCACATTATTTCCTCCACCTCTGCTATTAGAAATAAAAGAAATACCATTCTCACGTCTTCATCCGACTCTGTAACTCACAATTTCCCATAAGTCTGATCTTAGTTGAAAAGAAATCTTTTCCCAGGCTTTGGTAGCTCTATACAACCATGATGAGGGCCACGTCCTGTAGTCACATGCCCCCCTCCCCCCCAACTCAGGATGGCCCTGTGCTTAATTAAATCCTCTACTATCATCATCTTGAAATTCTTAAAAATTTTTGAGCCAGGGGCCTCATTTTTATTTTGCATGGGGCCCTGCAATTATGTAGCTAGTCCTGACCATTACAGAGGGCCTTTGTAATACATTATTGTTGCTCGATAAAGAACATAACACAACACAAGACCCAGATGGCTATACTGAAATATTGTCAAACCCATCTAACTGGAGATTTCAGATGCCTGGAATTACCCTTCTCTAGGGACAAATTATACTCAAGATATTGAGCCTGAAGCACTATAAGACATAAATTCCTAACCCATAAGCTCTTTGAAAATAGGAACAACATGTAGCTTATTGTCATCATTTTCTCAGAGCTAACATGTCCCTGGCAGAGTGTAGGTGCTTTAAAATTATTTAATGAGTATAGTTTTGAATGAATGAATAAATACTTAAACTCCACTTTGAATGTATTTATTCAGAAAGGAAAACAAATAAATATATATTTTTTCAGCGATGGAAGGCAGAGAAGAGGCAAGCAAGACCTGAGATCCCGCCTGTGTGCCAAGGCATTTTACATGGATTATCCAATTTCCTCCTGCAACAAACTGCCCAATTAGAAATGATTACCCTTGTTTTATACACATGGAAATTAAGGATCACACAGCTTCTAAGCACTAGAGTCAAAACTATTCTGATTCTTTACCCAACGTTTTTCCCACTGCGCACTAGCACCTCCTATTATACTCTTTCAAAAATTTTTGAAAAAAATTGAGTTGAAGTATTCATCTTCAATGAACCCAAAAATCCAATTGACCAAAACACTCTCTCTTCCAAGAAAGTTTTAGCTAAAATAAACAACAATAAACCGCAAACATCAACCTATCACCTGGAATCTATTTGTAATAAACTGGTGAAGGAAAACTCTGTCAGAATTGGCTTAGGGACTAAAACTGTCCCCTTCCTAATAAACTTTCTGGCACTGTGCTCTTTTGAAGATTTTGTTGCACAGGGACAGTGAACTTTAGATGCATATAAAGTTCTCAATGTACATTTCTGGAATTGAGGAATAATATCTGAGTCCTATCATTGGAAAAGATAGAACCAAGATTTGAATACAGACAGCCTGGTTTTAGCAAATTAAAACCATAGATCATTTTGATAATATAATTTCCAAGGGGTAGTTGTATAGAGTACACACATTTTAAGTAAAGCAACTACTGCCAAATTTATTTTATTTATAACATTGCATGTTTGGTTTCTATTTCCAATGCAATGGTGAGCTAGATAAACTTAAAGAAATATCTCATGGTAAAAACAACTAAAAATGTGGGGCGGAATATTGCTAACAAGAAATTGACAGAGATAGTGCTTCTAGAACTCTCTCCCTGTCTCCTTGCTTGTAACAAATATTAAAAAGCATGCTGCTTTCAACAAAAAAGAAAGAAAGAAAGGAAGAAAGAAAGAAAGAAAGAAAGAAAGAAAGAAAGAAAGAAAGAAAG